GTGACTTGAGACTTGACTTGTGACTTGCAAAACAATGACTTGGTCCCACCTCTGTTGTTTATATACATTTCCCTTGTTTTTCCTGGTCCTTAGCAGGATATAACACCGGACAGCAGTAATGCACCTACAGGCTGTTGCATCATCAGTGCAGGCCACCAGAGGCCTGTGCTGGGAAGCAGGACTTTAGGCCATCCAAGTAACCAAGGGTTAACTCTTGGTTTTCTGTAGTGCAAAGGTGGTTGACATCATACTGGGGTACATCGCTATGGTAACTTACGATGTCCACCTAAGTCATTGACTACTGACCAATCAATTCTCCAGAAAATAGCAGGATCCCTCTGACCTCTACAGGCAGAGTAGGAGGGACTAAAGTCTTTCAGCAGTGCCTGATGTCTCTGCGCTCCCCTGATTCATCCGTCAGCAGCATCCTAAAACAGGACACCTACACTGTACTTGCTGTCCTCGTATGACATCTCTGCACAGATTAAGCCTTTGAACTGTTTTTATATTTAATCTCTCAAACCCCTTAAACAGCACTGAGTCAGCAGCGGAGAGAATAAAAACTGTCAGGAGAAGGTTACAGATTGTAGATTCTCTGCTGGGGAAATACATTTTACACGTGCAGCTTGTTAAGCTGGACCTACAACCACAGAATGAAGCGTAAACTTTCCCATTGTCCCCCGAATGTGCACATATAAATTTGGTGATTTAGAAAATGTGTAAAATGTTGTTACACTTGATTCTGATCTGCTGCGAGATAACAACAAGAGCACCTGTTCAACCAGTCAGATTCATTTCTCCTTTATCAGGCTGTGGCAGTAACATTTAATGTTTAAATGACTCCTGTTTAAAGCTTCAGATCTTTAAAGTGCACCTTAAAAACAAACAGCAGCATGGAGAGAGCATTCAGGAATAATATAAATGTTGCAGCTGTGTGCGAGAAATCACCAGATTCATGATGATGTCCCATCTTATTTGCAGCAATGTTGCATTTGCTGTTCGATTTTTATCATCATCTGATTGGTGTGGGTGACACTCACAGGGATCGTTTTGTGTGGAAGAAGGCTCATATATGACCAGTGAAATGCTCCTTTCAGATTGGTCAGATGCTGCCAACACCACTCCTTTCATATAACTGTGCTGATAAAAGCCTAAATTAGTTTTGGCAGTTGATAACCAGCTTTGAGTGACCACTTATCCTCATTGCTAATGTTGGGATGAGTGAATCCACATAATGGAAAGTTGGTTGTGTAGAAGTTGCTGTGGTACAGGGCCCAGGTGTTCTAACTCAGTACCAGATACTGGACTGCTAAATCATCTGTCTGGTAAAGTGTTTGCTTTATGAGACAGAATGCTGGAAGCATTACGCTTAATCTTAAATTTACCATTTACCATTTAATCCAAAGATTAAGTAAATGGTAAATGGACTGGTTCTTATAAAGCGCTTTTCTACTCATCTGAGCACTCAAAGCGCTTTACACAACTCGTGCATTCACCCATTTGCACAAGCACATCTTTCTAAGTGCTTCATAGCTAACATTCACACACATTCATACTCCGATGGATGCATCGGAGAGCAATTTGGGGTTAGTATCTTGCCCAAGGATATTTGGTATGCAGACTAGGGGAAGCCAGGAATCGAACCACCAACCTTCCGATCAGCGGATGACCTGCTCTACCACCTGAGCTACAGCCACTCATGTCAGTTACTGGTGAATATCAGTATTTTTACTTTAAATGTCATTCCTATTTAGAGCACACACGTGTTAGATCACTGAAGGATCATTTTTTCTGCATTATAAAACAAAAAAGGTTTCATACATATCGGACAAAACATACACGGACACAACACATTAGTATCCAATAATAATCAGTTGGAATATCACGTGATTCTGTGTAGAAAAAGACACTCATTTAGAAACAATGTTTCTCTTTTACAGCTTTAGAAGGTGTAGACAGTGAAAAGTCAAACTCAGGTACACTAGCTAAATTGCTCAGTTGAAGAATGCATTGACTTATAGAAGCAGGTAAAACTGAGATGTTCATACAGTTCTCTGTGCAAAGAGTGCAAAGTCGGTTAGCTTAGCATAGAGTCGAGCCACAGGTTGTGAGAAGATTTGTTGGTGAGGACCCTGAGCTCGACTCACAGACAGAAGACTGGTACAGATTTTCTTCCTGGAAGAAAGCGGTGTGTGTATTTCCCAAAATACTGAGCTGTTCAAGTTTCTCACTGGATGGCGTTTTGTTGCGTTTGAATCCAGTGTGAAATCCTTTACAAACATTCTTTTGTTTACTTTTGAACTTTTACATGTTTGAATATACCAGAATGCTTTAAGCAAACTAACGTTTAAGAACTTCAGTTCAGTGATTGGTATTTCAAAAGCTACAATAAGTAACATATTTTTATGGAGCAAAAAAAAAAGATCATTGAAACATTTTGTATGCTGTTTTTTGCTTATGAGGAAAATAATAATAAACTGTGTGCATTTAGTTAACTTGAGTGCAAATCTGACCAGATTCAAAATGGAAAAACTGGAAGAGTCCTTCGTGGTGGCAAGCAGCACTAAAGCAAACTAAAAGTCACCGACTCTGGCGACCCTGAAAGCAGACTCTTTGTCTTTAGGGCGTAACAGGACACTTTCTTCTAAATGTCCTTAACTGCAAGCTGGAGTCAGATATCATCGAATCACGCTGAACCATTTTCGAGCTTTGGGTTTTACATAATCATGTGTTCACATCGCCGTCTCCTACATTCTAACCACTGTGCAAGAAACGGAGAATAATCACTCGACCGAGCCAGCACGCGGTCATCAGTGTGAGCCCGGCGTGAGAGCAGACAGGGATAGAAAACTGCTGCTCGATTCGAGTCCCATAGTTTCACCGCAGCAGAGGCAGGATTCAGACCGAGGATCCAGTTTAAACCCAAGTCAGACGGTGCGTTTGCTAGCAGCGATAACGGGCTAGTCGGAGTAGAAGTGCAGTATGCGCTGCCGTGTATATAAGAGTGTTTAAATGGATTAAAATGTCTATTAGATTATATGTATAGATCTATTCAGATGTTTAGAAGAAAACAATTCTAAGAAGATAGATTTATTGTTGTCAGAGCTGACCTGATGACCTAAGCACCGGTCTCATTTGCCCCGTCATCATCTGTAACCAGCTCGCCGCCCTCCGCCCTCCGCCCTCCACCTCCGTCAGTCACACAGCTCCGTAGATAGAAGGCGCTCTCTCTCCAAGTAGATTTTTTCAGAGCACTCTTAGATAGAGCGTTGATATGTGCTTGACAGTAAGCAGTGTCTGGAAATATATCTGGTTTTTCTTCTGCCCTTATTTGCGTTCATGTCGCACTCCACAGCTTCACGTAGGCGCTGCTTTTTGAGGTGACGAATGAAACATACACGAGTTCTGTGTTCTGTGAACATTAGCCGTACGGAGGCCGGCACGGGACAATGCTGCTACAATCCTGTTCCTGTTTGAACTTCTTTTCGAAACACGTACAGTGGCGTGCCAGGCGGGGTAGAAAAGCACAGTATTTTTAAAGATTTGTATAGAGTTCTATGAAATTTTATAGAGGTTACCTGAACAAAAACTGTTCAACACTGATGTGTGGATTGCCAAACAGAAATACCATATATACGTAGATGCGATGTGGATATTATTAAACTTATGGGTTATGTAAGAAGCAATATTTATTCTAACTGAATCTCCTTGGTTGTGTTTTCTTTTGCCATTTTAAAGTTACATATCATGATGCAATCACTTGTCAGTGTTTTATTAAGCGTTGCCTAAAATAGATGCACTCTCTACTGCAGTAGGAATCATATACTTTGGCCAATCACGTGACCCAGGCTTTGAAATCCCCGAGTCTCGGGTTTGTTGTTAAAAAACACAAAAGTTACATTTTTAAAAGTATATCTGCAGGCCATGTTGATAGGAAACTATATGAAACGTATATATATATATATGTGTGTATGTATACATACAGAGATCCACCAAAAAGTTGTGCGGTGCCTGTTGATCCCTGTGGATCAGTGGGTCACTCAGCACTTTTATCTGTGGACATGTAGAGCTGAGTAGATGTAGTAATAATCTTTAAAGAGCATCACCGTAGCGTGGCGTTTCACCGGGCCGTGTTCACCACAGGCATGGCTCACTAACCCACTTCCACTCCCCGTCAAAACACTGCTCCCACTCTATCATTGTCCAACATTTGGGTAACTTTTTCTTATTTTTTATTTTCTTTTTGATCAATTAAGTTCTGTTTTTTTTTTCCATGAATAGATTTTACTCATTGATTAAGTCTTCATAGAGGCTAAGATGTTTTCGGTAATTTGTGCAAAGACTTGTGTTCATGTTTTCTATGTTGCTGTAATTTTGTGCTATTAAATCATCATAGAGTCAACTAATTACTGAAATGAAAAGAGAGAGAATTTTCCTGTAACTGCACTCTTCCTTCCCCCTCCCCCCTCAATTCCTCAAAACTTCTTGTATGGCAACCAAAATTCACTGTAAGAAATAAATATAATATTGCACTACTGTATCCCTCTCAGTCCTTATAGTACAGGCCTGGTGCGTGGGTCTAAGGCTACGTTCACACTGCAGGCGAAAGCGCATCAAATCAGATTTTTT